CACATATGATAAATATTATTATTATTTTAAGGGTTATCACCTATCAAATATTTATCATCTATCAAATAGAATAATATCTATTAGCTAATAAGGAAATACATATTTTATTTAAAATGGTCACCTTAATTTGTATGTCACACAGCATGTGTTTCGTCATCAAAAATATTTAGTATTGATTATGAGGCATTTATGTGAAAATTGTTATAAACAATTTTTCAGTTTATTTAGATTTCAGCAATAATATAATAATATAAGTATTTTCTCTTTGCCGTAACCTTAAAATATAAAGTAATTTAGTGCTCATATTGTTGTTATTAAAGATATTGTCGTATGTTTCAGTATGATGTTTAATTTATCGACGTATCTATGAGATACATTCCAATATCTATACATTTTCATACACATACATATGCACATGGGTTTTTCTTTTTTAATAGCAATTTTTTAACATTTCAGTATTACGAAGGCAATCACGCACTGAAAATGCCGGTTCATATGTTAAACTCTTCTTAACAATAGTTTATAAATAAGAAAATACCCAGATAGTTTTTAATTGGTTATAAGAAACAGTATTGCCATATTCGTAAATTATAAACAAGTGAACATTTGAAAAACATCCTTTAACATGATAATAATATAACGCATTATAATAAATTTTTTAAAAAATTGTACTAAAACTCTTTAAACCGCTAAAATTTTATTGATTTGAGTGAACACACTCTATATGACGTATTTTGAAAATGTTTAATAAATTGCCAAAACATTTTTTCGAAGGATTGCAAATAACAGTTATGAACTCAAAATATCACTCTATTTTGCAAAATATTATAAAAAACCTTGGTGCAATCGTGTCCAATATGTCACTATATTTTTTTAAGAACATATCGAGGGACTATATTCAATAGTATCCATCTTAAATAAGTCAAGTGTTCAGAAAACTGTTTATTTCGCTAGTTCGTAAAGATTTACATTTTTTTCTTCTATAGTATTTTTTCATATAATTATAATTTAAAATTTTGCATTATTGGCAAATTATAATAGATTGAGGTTTTTCTACGAAAATGTTCATACAACCAACAGATAGAGAGTTTTTCATAGAAACATAAAAAAGATTTTGATTTAATATCAAATAAATATTTTGCATGATATGTGTTCAACACAATTTTGCAACAGAAAATTATCAAAAAAAGTTTAAAGCTATTTGTCGAATAAATAAAGAGATTTTCTTTCAGAAAGTTTTCTTTTTTAAAATAGAGAAATTTAAAAATGCTCTCAATTTGCTATAATTTTGGCTTCCACAATCAATGTATTACATGTATAGTGTTCCCAATTACATTTAAAACTCTTTTATAGCAATTGCAGGTTCAAGCAATACTTAAAAGAATATATTATAATTGGCAGTTATTAAATAATTTTTATTTTATCTATGTTTTCTAATGTTCTATTTTAGTTGAAATCCATTGTTAATGAAGTTTTCTTAATATCTTTTGGTAATAATCCTGTCTGATCTGTAAACCGAATCCTAGTAAATTTCTCGTTTAAAAACGAATTCTCATAATTTGTCTTGTTTTAAAGCCGAGTACATAAATCTAGTCAAAAGTAAATCGATTTTAATTTTATTAAAATAAATTAAATAATTATTTGTTACGTTTTTTAATATAATTGTAACTTGATATAAATACTATGGGCATTTTAAAATGTTTTTCATTTAAAATATGATCATTTTTCTGAATTTTACATTCAAATAAAAATTCGATTTACATAACACCAAATTCGGCTTTAAAGCTTCTCGGTTTTGAAACCGAATCGATTTACAGAACAGACATAAATATTTTAAGATTTGTCTTGCTCCTCGTGCTTAAAAATAAGATGTCGGTCGTTGGCCAGGCCTGGGATATTAAAAATTAAAAAATTATTGAATATTTCACAATTTAGTGAAAATTTAGTTTTTAGCTTCTGAAGTTGTTTCCCGATTACAAAATTTTCCAAATTGAAGAATAAATTATTAAGTAGATTTTGTTTTGGTTATTTGGTAGGAAATGGAATTAAACTTTTTTGTAATGTAGATTGTTGGCAGACAATATTGGTGTTAAATCGTAAAACCGAACTTAATAATCGTCAAAATATTTTTAAAATCGTCAAAATATTTTTGAAATCGTCAAAAAATCTTAAAACTGAAAATATAGTACATTCGATACCACAAAGGAATATATATTTCTGAATTTGAATTTGGCGCACAAACCACTTTTTACTCATTTTTTATAAAATAAAAATAGTAAAAATCTTTGTAAACTAGTTTTATTATTGTTATTTATTAGCTATTGGCATCGCCACTAGGACACTATTTCCTTCTTAAATCTGAAGAAATAACAGTTGAAAAGTAAAAGAACGTCAAATAGACAAATCATTTTAAGTGAGCAATGCCATATGTACAGTATTGTTCGAAACCTAGCAACTTTAAATTATTAATTCACATATCTAGTTAGATTTTTAGGAAATTAATTTCTAATTGGAATTTATATTCCTATGTAAAATTTGGTACGAAATATATACGAAATACATATTTCAAATAACTTTATATTATTATAATGCTGAAAATAAGTATTTTGTTCAATAGTACAAGCGGCTACAAACATAACAATAGTTTAGTTTGTATGCTGTGGTAGGTAGAGGGTTTTTGGTTGTACAAACGTCGTTTGTACAAAAATTAGAAAAATTATGATTTTACACACGATTGAATTTTGTCAAACCGTTTATTGTTAATTAATAATAACTTCACAAAATTCCATTCAAGAAAAATGACATCGTACTTGCAGTCACCGTGAAAAAATCGGTGTTGTGAAAAGTATGTAGTGCGAATGAAAAAAGTTTGAAAGCCGCTGGCTATTTGGGACTTAGAATCTGTGGTGCTCCGTTTTGAAAGTAGGTTAAGGAGATACTGCAATTAAGTGCCAATCCCTGAAGCTATAGAGTTCATCCCTGTATCAAAAATAATACCCACTAAAGTGGGTGTAGGGGTATAAAAATTTGTCACTTTCATATTCCAACCTATTATAAAACTTTATAAATTTTCAATAATGTATAAGAAACAAAGTTTATACATACTTGTCCTCAAATAAACGCCACCGTTTGTAAATCGTATTGCTATAAAATTTCTGGATAATGTGTATTGAATTTTTAATATTTATGTTTTAAACAAAATATGCATTTATAATATACAAAATAACAATATTTTCTTTATAATTACTTAACTTGTGACGGAACATAACTGAATTATGGGTAAAATAATTATAAGTGGCAACACTGAAGAGAGAGAGAGAAATTATTTATCCATATCTCAAAATTGTAGTAGTATAGCGCAAATAGAGTGCATTGATAGTATATTTTATAGGTATCTGCGTTTAGGTCAGGGACGGAAAATTGCTCAAGTTGTGCGATTATGATTATTTTTGTAAAACTGATTCTTCCATAAATCAATTTTCTTGCTATATGTATTATATATTCATAAAAAAGTTCAAAATAATTTATTAATTTTATTAAATTAACTACGGGTTTAAATAGTTTTATAATTGTAATGTAATTATTATTAAGTCATATTTTACCAAATGTGTCATGAGTTTAATACCACATTAGTTAGTTAGTTTGAAAGGAGGATATATATACATCAAATCCGAAGAAATACACCTAGGCCTCTATCGGGCCTGTTGTGCAATCCTTAGCCAGAGCCTCAGGTGGGACGCGAACCCACTACCTCCGGTCTACCAGACCACATTACAACTATTCATTATTTTCAAAAAAAAAAAAAAACTATTGTAACAACATTGCCATCTCTGACTTCAGTGTGTATGTGTTTTTTCGTCTACATTATTGGATTGAAATATTTAGTTCGAGTGTGTATTTCGTTTGGTACGGATGGGAAGAAGTTGACGTGTCGCGCGTACGCGACTTTTATCATAAAATATTCTATATAATTAAAATAAAGAAAAAATTTGTGAAAAATTGAGAAAAAAATTATAATTCTGTGAAATATATACTTAGTTTTTTTTGTAGCGCGTATGGAACGTTTATAAATTCTCACTTGATAAAAATTTTTCAATATACTAAAAATAAAGTGTATTTAGCTTTTTTTTTTGCTAAAACGCAAAATTTTTTAATATCTTTCGGTTTTAGAAACTTTTTTATCGTTTCGTGATTTCTTTTTGTTTTCTACCTTACGGAATTTTTGAGTGTTTCAGTTACCACATCGTTTCGTTACGCCTTTAACTTAAAGGTTATCTTCGTGCATTAAAGCCTCCTCCCACTCTCTGAAAAATTCAGAGAGTGTGAATGTTATTTGAGAATTTTAAAGTAAAATATACAAGTATGAAAAATACAGTTTGCGTTAATGAATTTTATTAATAAAATTAAAAAAATATGTTTTTAATTTATTTATTATAAATAACAAAAAAAAAAAAAATTATGTGGTTTTAGTTCTTATGAAATTACTCGAAAATTTCGTCTTTCTTTCGTTTCCGTTTCGTAACTCTTGTGATTTCTTTATTTTTATGAGTATGAGAGAGTATTCATTTACTTCCTCTCTCAATAAGATTTGTTGTTGTTTTTATATTATTTCCATATGAACATTTTCTTGACGTATTTTTATATTAATTTCTCAGTTCCAGAAAAAAAAAACGTATAACAATAAAGTTTATTTCGCAGATTTTGATGACTCGTTAAAATATTTTTAATTAAAAATATATACATACACCTATAAAAAATACTAAAGTTAAAATTAATTTTACAAATATTAGTGGAAATCAATATAAAGTTGAAATAAATATAAATCTTTAAAAAATTATATACCTATTTACAAAATAAAATAAAATTTAGCAAATTATTTATAAAGTGTAAAAAAATTGTTAAAATTTACTGAAAAATATTTTCATAAATAAGAAATCTTTTAAAATATTTATAAAAAAAGTCTTAAATGATAATGTTTATCTAAAAAAGTGTCGAAAATACAAATTGAATATAAAAATAAATAAAATATTACAACGGTTTCAAATTTATACAAAGTCGCCTAAATATTAAAAAAAAATTAAAATATATAAATTTGTTCACATTTATTACAAATTGTTATCCAAATAAAAAGTGTATTCATATTTACAAAACAAAACAAATAAAATAATTATATAAATCCCTACAAGAAAACGTTACTTAAAGTACTTTTCTTCACCCATACCCACACTTACAAACATCTTCCATAGGAGAAACAATAATGGAAAATTTATAATTCAAATTGGATTATTTTACTGTCATTCCCCAATCCAAACAGCAGTACAAGCAACAATTTAATGCTGGATTCTTTTTTGCAACAAATTTTGTGGAATATATAACGAGGTACTTAAGTGATATACATATCTATTTACAAGTAGGTATAACTAAAATACACGCATTTCTGTTTTATATTTTATTATTTTGCATTCTTAATGCATTTTATTAAGAAGGGCCTGTATCTTGTGCCGTTTTAAAGTTCTTCGTTAGAATGTCACTGGGAAAGTTGCACTTGTTAATTACATATTTATTGTTTAGTCAAATGAATACCTAGTCGAGTCGAATGAATAATTTGCCACAAATGTAGTTCAACAATTTTAAAAGTGAGACATAGAGAGGCAATCTGTGAGAGAATATGTTTGAAATAGAGTTAGAGAGTGGCCATCTTAATTATGTGTGTATGTGTTTAAATCTGTTCGCAAATAGATACTCGTACGTACTCGTATTTACACATTCATATACATATGTATGTACATACATAAATTCGAATTTGTCGAAAAAGAAAAATAATAAAAAAAAAACAAACAAACAATTCGACTGTCTGCTAAAATATGTTCGTCAATTGTTTGTTTGTTCGTTTGCTTGTTTAGAGAATGATTAGTAGTTGTCTGTAAAATGCCCAGCCAGATGTTTTAGTTAAGTAAAAATTTATTGTACATACATAGAGATACATACATGCATATCTACGTATTATATGATTTTGTATCAACAGTAATTTTACAATGTAAAGGAATTATCAGATTTAATAGTTTATCTATCTTAATGTTCCATCTTAAAAGAGAATAAAGTAAAAATGGTAATAACATATAATAAGCTTTGTTATCGTTGTTTTGTCTTTGTTTTGAAATTCCATTTTACTTATAAAATTCTCTTCATACGAATTATGAATTACGTAATATTGTTAAAGATAATATAATGTTGATGTTTACTGATGTTTAAACTACATAATTTGCAGTCATTATTGTTGAGGTAGATTTTTTCAGGAAGAACAAAAAAGTCAAATAATACTCGCGCTGTTTTCATACCAACTGCAACTGTTTTTATATTTAAATGTGTATGATTTGACATACATACATATGTATGTACATATGCATGTATGTATGTATCTCAAAATGTTTTGGGTTTATTGTTGTCCGTTCGGGAGTTGGGCCGTTTTAATGAAAATATTCGAACGATTTTACAGCTTCAAAGAAGTTAATTTTGCTTTATGATAATTCCCATCGATTTTCATTTTCGCATATACCTATATACAGTGAAAACTATGGGTATACTACATAGAAAACTTTAAAAATGCATTTTACATAAAACTGACTTTTTATGAACCAAATCATATCGTATTAATAGATGTAACAAATTTTTTGTGGAAAAATTAAGTTTGTTTAAAAAAATGTTTGACACAAAGATAAATATACCTACATACCCCTTTCCTTAATAATGCGATTTCATTAAACATATTTATTGATTAATATTTTGTTGCTCCTAAATTACTTTCGAACGTGACATTTAATTGAGTTTTCATTAAATATTAATTAATCATTCCCACAAGTCAGAAAGTCCTAAAAAGCTTCATAATAGGTATACAATGCCTGGCGGTACAGTTTTATTCAAATGTATTTATTAATGTTTGGATTTATACTTGTAAGAAAATTTCGTTTTTATAAAAATAAATGTTTTAATTTTATTTTGATTCTGTCTCTCCTGTAAATTTTTGAAAAGTGTTGTTAAGCCCTTTTGCATTTCGAGTGACGATATTTTTGGTTTCATTGCTTGTAAATCTGCTTGTAATCCGAACTTGTTTTCAGGATACAGACAATATTATCGAAAGTTATAACATAGTTTAAATAGCGTTTCTTGGTCAATAACGACCGTAAATATGCTAAAAGTGCAAAGAAGAATTTCTTGGAAGCGAGCGGGATTGACATGCTTGCAGTGCCCAGTATAATTTCTCGATACCAATTCAATGGAGAACATTCAAAATGACCAACAAATAAATTTTAAGGCCTGAAAGTTAAAATTTATGCTATGAACTTTTTAGTTGGGTATAGGAAATATTTGATGTTACATATATTTAACAGATACGAAATGTGCTAACCTCATGGTCACCATTGTATGTATATGTACAAAGAATCGATGATTCAGCCTTTTGTAAACACCTGTTTTACGTATATCTTCACCTAAATGGCAAAAGGGCTTAACAACAAGCTAATACATTTTCCAGGAGAGACAAAAAACTCAATAAAATTAAGGTTGGCCCGAGATGGCCAATGTGGTATAAGTAATGAAAATAGTTATTTTATGTCATTTCTAATATAAACCAATTTTTTTAATTTTTTATTTTAAAATTTAAATATTTATATATATTTTACGGCGCTGCGAATTATGGCCCCAGGTAAAATGGCCCCAAAATATAAAACGAAAAATTGCCCCAATGTTGGGGTCAAAATTCATTATGAAGTATAACCCTAACATTTTTTAAGAAAAATCACCCCAAAATTAATGAAAAATCTCCCCAAGGTTGAAATGAAAAGTGGCCCCAAATATTGGGTTAATTTTTCGTAATGAACAATTACCCCAAAAACGTAAATGAAATTTCACCCCATTTAATTTTAATTCAAATATAGGTGACGTGTCATAAAGTCCAGTGTCATATTTTCCATGGGCGTTATGACTCACTAAATTGAGTCTAGTGTCCATGGACGTTATAACAATTTCAAAAGTGTCACAATGCATATGAGCAATGTAACATAAAGTCTATGGATTTCAAAGAGTCCATTTATCAAAAGAAGGCTTAATTTAGCGAAGCCGGTATTCAAAATACCCCAGAGTTTAAAACCCCTGCGCCCGGCCGAAGGCCGGCTATACAGAAAACTTTTTAAATGGAAACCAAAATGCAACATACACCAAATTTAGGATAAATTCCTTTGGGGGTAAGAATGTCCCTTTCATAAATTCTTTACAAATTTTCAAATACAGTTCTGTTTTAAAAGTGATACAATGTCAATGGACATTATAACACTTTTAAAAATTGTCATAACGTCCATGGACATTATGAAACTTTTTGGTGTGTCATAACGTCAATGGACATTATGACATCCCACCTCAAATATAAGCTAACATATTTATAAAATTTCATATTTAATAATTTTTGTTGTATTTTCATTAAATGTTTGTTAATTTTGAACATTCTTGAAATATTTTTTGTAAAAATATGTTCAAAATTAACAAACATTTTATGAAAATACAACAAATATTATTACATAAAATATTTTTTAATAAAAAATATCGCGCGATAATGTTCTGATTTTTTATAAAATATTAATAAATAGTAATAATGAAAGATCACCCCTAATTATTATATGGTTTTTTAGGTCCCTTTTTAATATTTTAATATTCACGTATTTTACAAAATTTAAGAATGAAAATTAGCCCCAAAGGAAAAAAGTTTTGTTTTGGGGTATTTCTTCATTTCACAACATTGGGGTCATTTTTATTTTTTTTGCAAAATGCAGTATTACCCCAAATGTAAAAATGTTGAAATACCCCAAAAAATATATGAAAAAAAAAACAAAAGTTTCGTGTTTTTGTTTCCTGTATCTTTGTTGGGGCCATATTTCGTTTTACGTTTTGGGGCCATTTTACCTGGGGCCATAATTCGCAGCGCCATATTTTACACCCTTTAATCAAAAAGTCCATAAAAATAATTTGTTGATTATATTTGTTTTAGCCAAATATCCGATTATTATGGACCGATTTTAATTCTTAAAAGCATATCTAATTGAATTCTCTAAGATTTGGATTGGCAAATAATGTCTGACTTATGGAAATAACTAATTTGTTGTTAATTTCATGTTTATAAAGTCTGTGATTTTGACAATAGAATTCTAAAAATTTGCGGCATCATTTATGTCTAGGCAATGGACCATTTTCAATCAAAAAATCGATTTTACATTATTGGTTGTTATGCCCTTTTACATTTCAGGTGACGATATATAAGTTTTCTGCATTTTTAAAGCTCTGATGATTTAAAAAATGTCAAAAATACAAATTTTATTAAAAGTTTGGCGTTCGGTAAAAATTTTACCAAACTCTGTACCCGAACCCGAACGTTCGGTCAGGCCCTACTACTTATTAATTTAATTCGAGATATCTAATTTATTTGTCATGTTGGTAGGCACTTTCAATGGCGTATCACAAATTTTTGTGCTAGTTCAAAAATATTGAAAAATTAATCATTTTTCGCAAATATTTTAAATTTTTAAAATTATTATTTATGATTCAATATTGGGATAAATAAATTTTACATATCAGTGAAAAGCTCGGTGAAGTTGTATGATCTTTAATATGTAATAATTTTAATTATTTACATTAAAAAATAACTAATGTTATGCAAAAATATTCCTTCACCAAAATGTCAGAAATTCAATTTTCTTTAGAAATTATAATTACATTAAAACGCGTACGACGAATAATAAGCGAGATATTCGCTAAAACAGACTTTGACCTTCAATATATCGCTTAGCGTACACGATATTTTCGGTGACTTTTAATCCCTTACTATGCTAAGGAGAAGCTATGTGCCAATTTTCACTTAGCTATTTAACATTCCGCAGAAAACCCTTATTTTTCTGGGCTATTAAAAACATAAACGTTTAACAACTAAAAATCGATAAATCTGGCGACAGTGGATGTAGTAAACAATTGCACGGCATATTTGCAGCCACTGTAATTTTAAACTGTGTGGAACATTTCTTTTTCATTTTCTGAGACATTAGAAATCATTTATGTAAATGCTGAAATGTTGTCTTGTTTTCGAATAGTAATCCTAGTGAAAAATATAATTCTTATTAGACTTTAAATAATACTACGTTTTTAGCTTCCATTAACAATAACAACAGCGGCAACCAGCGGTAGCAGCAAATCATAAAGAATATTTTTTGGTGATGACCTTGAAAAAGCTTTATCTAAAAATTGAGTGCAATCAACTTTTTTCCGCGCTTTATTATTATATTATTATAAAATAAAAATACACAAAACAAACAAATACAACAAGAAGAAAAAACTTTTTT